TATAAATATACTTTCCTTATAGAAATACCCAAGATTGAAGAACACAGATAAACCATATATTTTGTGCAAACGTATGTTTATTTTCCTCAAGTTTTAATCAGTTAAAAAGTCTCTATCTCCGTTGTGCGTTTTATTCAACGATAACTGGATACCTTCCTGGAGCGTCGTCAGTAGTAACTTCTGCTATGGATATGTGGCGTTTCTGTGCAAGAGCGCCCTCCGGCTTCCAGTATGAATTAAACAGTTATATTAGGTGTGTACTCATGTTCACCCTATTTTGGGTAAAAATAGGAAAGATAATACTTTTCTCTAAAGAAACAGGATTCCCGGAATTATCGTCATTGATATTGTTATCGTAATAAATAGCAGAAGTATCGTGATATATTTTTAAGCCCATATCGCCCATCCCTACTCGCTGTTTTACTTTTATATTGTTGCTATGTTAAAACTATATTCAAATTATATTCAAAGTTCAAATACATACAACAAGTGTACAACAGAATGAAATTGCATTTCTCTGAGCCCAATGCTAAATGTGCATGATAGTGCAGACATAACAACAGTAAATAATATATAATATTTAAATAAATAATGTAAAACAATATGATAGTGTTATGCAATTATATATGTATCTATGTATATAAACACAATAAGTATGCAAATAAATCATTGTGTATATCAAATCCACCTGGCCACTGTAACTGTTTCTTCTGTAACACTGTCAGACCTGCCAACCTGTACACATTTTGCGTAGCGGGTACGCATTTCGGAAGGAGGGACTTTGTAGAAAACGAAGCGTTTGAGAGAGGCGGGGCATAGAGGACCTACAATAATGTACAGTATTTGAAAAATAATGTGTTTTTTGAACATTAAAGCATGTCAACATATTCTGTTACACCAAATACACAAAATAATGATCTTTAAAAAAGCATCATATGACCCCTTTAAAGTACGCTGGTACGATTTGTCACTCTAAACTACGCAAAAACCTGGTGACCTGTCCACGCGCAGTAAACAAGCAACAGAAAAAGATGAGGAGTTCAACCAATCAGAGCGTTTTTTCCGGTTTTGCATTTAAATAATTTCCGTGTGTTTTATTTCTCTCCAAACTGGCTCTGTTTGTGTGTCCGTGAGTCGCGTGCTGAGATGAGGAAACACATGCATGGTGCATCTGAAAAAGCAACATAAGCCGAGCATGACTTGTAATGCGGAGCGTTTCTAAACCTGTTGTCCAACAAAATAGACCATTATAACATACTCCACAACATCAGACAAATGTTAGAAATAACTTCCGTCCTGATCTGATGTGGCACCTTATCACAGAATCAGGGCTCGACAGACGCATTTGCGACTGAAAACTACTGCGTGCGACTATGACCTTTATTTTTAGGAGCACCAGTGCGACTGACCCGATCAGCATCATACTTGTGATCGCGCTCTTTTAGGAGCACCAGTGCGACTGACCCGATCAGCATCAGCTTCGTTGATTATAAATGTGAGCTCGCGATGAACTAAGATGATGAGTGACAGCTTTTAATGATTTTTAAGGGAGTTTGTAAATGTGATAACTGATTTAATACAATTCAATAAACAAGAAGTTAATATTAAGTGACATACATTGTCTGACTATAACACTATTGTCTGATTTTGCTCTAATGCGTCGTCGAAAATAGTTTAAAACAAAGACAGAGCGGAGCCGCAGCGCATCTCCATTCAAACACAGCGGTGTCTCGTTTATGAATGAACGGGGTTTTTAAACGAATCGAGTGAGTCAGTGATTCATGATTACCCATTCATAAAGACAGTCACTTGATTCATTCTTGAATGAATCAGCCGTTCGAATGAATCAATTGAATGAATGATTCAGTGATAAAATCAGTGACTTACCGCCACCTGCTGGCAGTTTTAGTTTAATTTTTAAATGATCTTTTCAGTTATTTGAAGTCATTTAATATTTCTATATTCAAAATTTTATATTTAAAACATTAATATCATCATGGATTTATGGATTGAATTGCACTCATTCCACTTCTGAGCCTCATTAAATGTCTGAAAGTACATCAAGCCACTTTTGTGTTCTTCTGTGCCACCTCTACAAATTAATTTTGTTAATACTGATTTCATTTGATTTTTAACTTGTTTCTTATTCTACTCTTATTCTGGCGTTTTAATTACAAGTTTTAAAAAGCTTATAAAATATAATTTTTTTTAAGAATTTGACAAAAGATGACACTTTTAATAAAGTTAGAGGAGTCAAATATCACCTCGTAATGGGAAGGCTATACTTTTTGATAACATTTTGGATTATTGATTAGAAGGTGCTCCTAAAATTTTGAAAGTGCTCCTACATTTTTTAAGTTTTAAGTAAAAAGAAAAGTAAGCGTCAAAGCCCTGAGAATGACGCAGAAATATATTCTATACTCATACTGTAATAAAGGCTATTTCGATTAGCAATGGACTATAACTATACTTATGAAAATACCCGAGGTGGTTTTAAGAACACAGATAAACATTGTCACTGTTGAGCATTTCTGTCTTCTTTCATTCAGTTACAGCCATAGCTGCTTTTGTCCATATTAGGGATTTCTTGGAGCGTCAGTGAGCGCTATTTCTTCAGCGATGCATATGTGGACTTTCTGCGCAGGGGCGCCCTCTAGTATCCAGTATGAATGAAACCGACATTACATGCGTTCATAGCACTAAATAATGGCCAATCTATAAAAAGAATACTTCTCTCAAAAGAAATTTAAGGTAGACACAGTGTACAACAATGTACTGAAGTTTTAATTAATGTATACTGGAGTTTAAAAAAAAAAAAAAAGCATTTAAAATCGCTAAAAAGAACTCTGTTGTGCCAAACCATCAGAACCAAACTGAAAACTGGTAAAAAAAATTGGAGGCATTTATTGAACCTTGCGCTAACTGTATTGTTGCATTCCTACTGTTTACTCTAAAATACTGTATAACAGGAATATCACAAACTGAGTGCAGACTCTGAGTACTAACCTATGAAAAATATTTATCATGAAGTCTAGCATTTTGCACATTGTGCAAATTACGATTTTGACATTAGCCATCAAGGAGCTTCAAGTAATGTAGGAATAGGCTATATGACCCACGGTATCACCCCATATCACCCCTCCACCCCAACCCCCGCGTCACACTTATGGTACTCAAAAAAAAAATTCAAAGGTTGGCAGGTCTGCACTATTGTTTTCATGAATCAGTATTCAAATCTAGCATAGTCAATGCAAAAACATCACATTCATTCAATATTAATTTACCAATTTACTCATTTAACGATAACGGATCGCCAGGCAGGCTTACCGCAGTGACCGGCAGACACATATAACGGTGTCCTGTATGGAAAGATGTTACCCCAGCTGACGGTTCTCCATTATCACCTGTACAAGTGAACACTGACCATCAGCAGCTAATGAGGTGCATTGGAGTGACATCAGCTCCCCTCCTCGACTGACTGGCTAGAGGAGGAGCTGCCAATCTAGAACTAGTGAACCAATGATGACGCTTAAGCACACCCTGATTTACATCAAACTCTAACCGCAACATTTGGAAAAGCAAGCGCAGAACATGGAAACAAGAGCGAAGGGGAAAACAGCATAAGCATATAAAAAATACAAATATGAGCAGACATTTTCTGACAGCACAAAAAACAGAGAAATATAACCAAGGGAAACATGATTTTGTGTGCAAGTCGGATAATTTTGCATTACTATTTCAGTTTTGTGCAATATGATTTTGAATGTGTTTAAAGTTTTGATTCATACTTATTACTTTTTGCATTATTACATTTTTTTTATTTAAAATAGAATTTTGAGCAAAATATTTTTACTTTCTTGAAACTAAATTTAGGTTTCAAGCTTATTATTTTTGGTGGAAAACTGAACTGCTGTGAAGACCAATTCAGTCAGCCCAGTCAAACTTGCTGAAGGCCACCACAACTAAATATAAAACACATGTATAATGGATACTAAACATATGTGTCATACATGAACAGATTTGAAACTAGAGCTGGGCAATATATTGATTATTACAGTATATTTGTGATTTTTCTGTTAGTATAAAGCTATGTACCATTATGATCTTTAATGCCCTTTATTTGACCAATTAGTCCAAAGGACCTTGACATTTGACTAGTTTTACGATACTCTTATGTAAATAACCTCAAACTGTCAATTGATTCAAAACTTTGATTCAGTGATTAATTTGCTTCACTTAAAAAGGTTTTTAAAGCCACCATGTTGCATTTTTAATAAATATGCGGCTATGTATAGGTAAATATTTTTATTTATTGCTATATATTATGTTGGTGGATTTAAATTAAAATACATACAATTATTTCACTGTGTTCATTTAGTGAAAAACTTGTCTTAATCATCAAGCAGATTTTTTGTTTATTTATTTTTACTAATTGAAGTAAAAAAAATATTTAAGTGAATAATAAGCAAATATTGAGATACATATGTTGAATGTTGTCAAAAGATTGAAATATATTTAGATGCAAAGGGTTCCTGTATTAATGGGGAACATGGAAAAGTCATTAAAATTAATACAACAGACAAACTGGCTATAAATTGCTCTTTGAGAGTGTATCCTTCTTCAAATATTGTTGTGATGAAACATAAGTAGAATGGGTTATTGAAAAAAAATATATTATTATTTTTTTTTGGGGGGTGGGGGGGAGGCCTGCATACATCACCAGAGAGAAGTCTGTTGTTTTTGCCAGAAGGTCCAGTTATGACATTTTGATTAAACGTGATGAAGAAAAAAAAAAGAAAAGAATTTTCATGTCATGATTACTTTAAGGCCTGGTAATCATCAACAACAAAGTCATGGAAAAGTAATTGATCGGAATTTGTGGAAACCCATAAGTTTTAGCCACGCAGCCATTTTTCGAAGATACCATGGATCCATCAGAGTCCAGGGAAGCATTCATTTAGTGTAGCATTCGTTTGATTTCGGAGTAATGACGAGCATGTGTGTGTTTCTGTGGAAGGTGCTGGCAGTTTGTCTGGAATAACTGCAGTGGTTTGGTTAATAGGAAAAGAGGGAGTGTCTATGACAAGCCAATTCACATGCATGCCATTCCCCTGGATCAGAGCGACTCATTCCAGACATGTCTCTCCAGAATTACCATTATTGCACTCTCCGTTCCTCATTTACAGCACTTACACTCATTGCACCCTCTTGAATTGGATGAAAGCAATCAATCGATCTTATCTCCAAGGTAAATCGGTTCCCGGCGTCTGGCAAAACGGTACCAGCACAACCTCTTGATGTCAGTGTAGATGACTTGAGTTCCTGTGAAAAGTGATGAGCGTCTGGGAGTGTGGTTTGCTGATATTTGAGCCTGAGAATCGGGTGGAGGAGTTCAGAGAATGACTGCAGACAAAGGTGTAGAGTGGCACTAGAGTCGTCGCCGCAGAAGAGCTTTGTGGAGATGGTGTCGAGAGGACTACAATGAAAAGTTGGGGAGGGGCTAAAAAGACTTTGCTTTTAGCAAATCCCGAACTCTGCGTATCATTGGTCTGCCAGATGCCCCCAGTGTGAAGGAAGTATCACCAGGGAAACTTGTAGTCTGTCTCTGCACTAACATGCATGAGCAAGGATCCAGGCTGAATCATCCCTGGGAACGGCTGTAGAACTTTTTCTGGCTCGAACCTCTAGAAAAACCCTTCAGTAATGTTCTCGTCTTCTCTTCCACAGTTATATTGCAAAGCCTTTGCAAAGATGGGGGACGACAAGCCTTTTGTGTGCAGTGCTTCTGGCTGTGGGCAGGTAAGTTCGCTTTCACTTTGTCTTGGGTTTCAGGTGTGGGTGTGCTTTTCTGGTTCATAGGGCATTCTCTGGTTATTGAAGAGTGTCGGCTGGCACATCTGAGGGAGGGAGGTGCGCAAGCTGCACCGCTCTGAAAATGTGTTGTTTTTGTCACACTGCAGCCTAGGGCCACACTGATGAAGCTGATAGCGCACTTGTGAAACTGTGCTAACATCTCTTGCACTGTCTGACTCACTCACAAACTTGGCCAATGAGTAATCGCAGCTCAGTTATCATCTACACTTGTCTGGTTTGAGTCAAAGTCCATGCAGGCACTATGAGGAGGTTATTGATGCTAATAAGTGCACGATGAACTTGCAGACGAAAAAAAAAAAGTACCTAACAAGCCAAATTGCAATAAAACTGTTTACAGAGAATGTATGCCTTGATTAAATTTATATGTTATAAATTTATGTTAGAAAAACAGACACATATATATATATAAATATTATATATTTATAAATAACAATATATGTAAATAATATATATAATAATATAATAATGTATATAATAAATAATATATTCTCTGAAAACAAGTCTTAATATCTTATGCAATTATTCTTCTTAAGTAAATTGATTTTGGCTTAAGGATCATAATACCAGAAAATGTATTTTTACACGGGAAAGATTTTCCAGTGTAAGATCTGAAAAATAATGTGGCCTTTGGAGGCATGTGCTGCTTTGAGGCCATTGAAAACCGAAAGAGGAAGTGATCGAGACCCATCCTACTCAGTGAGACAGTGATGTTCGTTTTGTGGTTTTGATCTGAATGTTCTCCTCCACAATTACGTAGAAAAAGGCGTGAAAAAAGTAGCATGGATCAGAATGAGGTAATTTAACAGTTAGACATTGCCTTTCCAATACCGAACACAACAATGATCATTTAACTGTACCATTGGCGGCATAATCTTGAGAATTAAGAGGAACAACATGAACTTGATGAATAATTTATGTTAGCTAGTTGTTTGCAGATGTTTCTTTCTCAGAAGCCACAGGGACCATGATTGTTTAATACGTCTTGCTCTGACCTAGCCAGACTGAGAAGGAAAAATCAGTTTTTCTTACGTAAAAAGGTGCCTTTGATATTTGACATCTCTATTACTATTGCTAATACTTATGATTTGAGCTTATATTATAGTGGACATAATATTTCAACTTGTACTGGTTTTTGACGAGAGATGTGATATTTCTTTTTCATTTTTTAGTCTTGTGATGGCAAAGCTGAATTTTCGGCATCATCATCCTAGTCTCCAGAAATCATTTTAATATGCTGATTTGGTGCTCAAGAAATATTTCATATTCTTTGATTAATAGAAGTTCAAAAGATCATAGAAGTCTTTGTAACAATGTAAAGTCTTTGCTGTCACTTTTGATCAATTTAATGCATCTTTGCTGAATAAATATATTCATTTCTTTTAAAATATCTTACTGACCCCAAACTGTTGAACAGAAGTGTACACTGAAGCATCCTGGTTTCTAAGTTGAATATCTTAATTCATAAGTGGTAATGACGTATCTTGTCGTGAGGTGAAAATAAGGCAGTTTTAAGACTACTCAGCTCCTGTAAACCAAAACTAAAGGGGAAAAAAAGGATAATGGTTGAAATAGAGATCAGGTTGTACACATCTGTCAGTCTCTATTAACAGCGGTGTTCAGCTGCACGAGGGGAGTGAGGGCTTACTCTAGTGGAGTTATTGTTCTTTTGTTGACGAGCAAATGCTGTTTGCGTCATACTGAAGTCCATAGGGGTTTAAGATTGTTTTGCTTCATCCCAGTGAACCAGATTTTCACGTGACTCCTCTGTTTTGTCAACCTATTGTTGAAAAATAACACGCCGAAGGAAACTGAGATTTGAGATTATTAATGCTAGTGCTTGTTTAAAGCTATTTTCAGAGTAAATGAATCCTTTTTATTGTAATTTCCTCTTTATCATATAAAAAACAATGTGCAGCAAAATTCAAATTGGGTTTAACTAAAGGCTACACTTTAGCTAGTGCTTGCTTGTCAGTTTATAGTTTTGTTTTTAGAACAGGAAGTTCAGGACTAACACTACCATTCAAATATTTGGGTTCAGTAAGTAAAAAACAAAAAACAACACAAAAAAAACTTTATTCAGTGCGAAAGAATTAAATTGTTAAAAAGTCACTGTAAAGACACTTATAATATTACAAAAGATTTCCATTGCAAATAAATGCTGTACTTTTGAACTTATTTTTTGAAAAGATTAGCAGCACAACCGTTTTTAAAATCAATAATAATAAGAAATGTTTCTTGAGCACCAAATCTGTATGTTAGAATGATTTCTGGAGGATCATGTGGCACTGGAGTAATGGCTGCTGAAAATTCCACTCTGACATTACATGAATAAACTACATTTTAATATATTTTAAAATTATAAACGTTTTAAAACGGTATACCGGTGCCTAAACGGTGCCTGAACCGATACTTAAAAAAATAAAACAAAATAAAATTACCCAAAATAGGATGCATTGGCCATTATTGAGCGCTATAAACACATTTAATGTCTGTTTCATTCATACTGGACGCCTCGCACAGAAACTCCACATGTGCATCACAGAAGGAATAGAACTCAGGAAATCCCTAATATGGACAAAGGCATTGCTATCGCTGTAACTGCGTAAACAGAAGATATAAACATTTTGAATAATAAAACACTCGACTGCGACAATGTATAGTTTATCTGTGTTATTCAAGCCATCTTTGGTATTTTCATCATTAAGTATATTTATAATCCATTGCTATTCAACATAGCCTTTTTACCATATACTTTTTACAGTATAGAACATATTTCTGCCTCATTCTGTGACAAGAAGCCACATCAGATCACAAAAGGAAGCAGTTGTGGAGTAAAAAGGTTATAGTGTTCTCTTTTGTTGGACAACAGGTTTAGAAACGCTTCTCATTGCAAGTCATTACAAGGGAAGTTTAGCTTTTGGCATTTTAATTTAAGAATGTTTAGCTTAGCTAGCTAACGGTATCTACCTGCTGTCATCAGAGCAAGTGTAATTGCTGCATTCATGCGCTTCTCGGATGCTCTCATTTCCCGAGTTGTGCTTTTAAGTCGGAATGTGAAAACAACATGGACACTTGCGTTACTACAAAGATGTGTTGGATTTGTATTATTAGAGCTTTCCGACTTGCGTTCGTGAATTTTATCAGTCGGGAAATAATTTTTCACGTGCAGTGCCGGTGATCCTTAAGTCCGTTTCGGAGAACCAGAAAACAAATATTTCAATCGATCGCTCAAGCATTTAAGTGGCACCGAAATGAGGCACCGAAATCTGCGTTCTGATTCGGTTCTAGTACATACCGCTTACATAGGTATGGCACCGGGTTTCGGTACCCAACTCTATATGGTATAGGAAAAAAACAGAAAATAATGGGAAGAAGATCAGGAAAAGAAGTGATTTATTTATTTTTTCTGCCCGCATGAGCACCTCAGCTCAACATGTAGGAGCATGTGTACTAACCTTAGGCCAGCAAAAATTTAGATTTTATGCATAGATGACCATGTGCTGCTGGGAGAACTTGGTCAGATTATTTATACTTTAGTATTTGACAAATAATGTGCATTGCTTCATGCATTGCTTGACATGTTGTTTCAGCTACCTATGTTTCCCATTTATGTTGACGTGTATTAATGAGATGAAATGAAAAACATTTAAACAAGGTCTTGAGAAATGCATATACAGGTGCATCTCAATAAATTAGAATGTCGTGGAAAAGTTCACCAAAATCATCACAATTAAAAGAACCAAAGACTTAAACTACTTCAGTCTGTGTGCATTGAATTTTAATACACGAGTTTCACAATTTGAGTTGAATTACTGAAATAAATGAACTTGTCCACGACATTCTAATTTTTTGAGATGCACCTGTAATATTGATCTTAGTAAGGTCAGTTTAATACTAAACTATGCTGCTGAATAACATTATCCATTCTCATTCTTGATTACTAGAAAAGCTCTATTTTTTGCATTTCCCAGTGTCACATACTTCTTTCTGAGAGGAAGGTACAAACTTAAGCTATTACTGCAAAAGAGGAAGTATAAAAAGTCTACTGCATGCACATAAGGCACTCTAGCTGCACTACTTGTCTGTTGGTGTTAATTAGTTCCTGTGTTTGCTTCAGCCATGCTGTTGTCCTTGTGTTGTCATTTAAGTCGAGGGGGAAGAAGCTACGGGCCATGCAGTTGTTGTATTTGTGATGCTGGCACATCTAAAAATACGCCTCTGACGCTTGACTGTGTTTCCACGGCTGAACTGTAACCGTGACACAGAGCCAGAAATAGTCTGAAGAAGACTGTGAAGCCCAGTGAACACGGCTTGAGTCATGAAATCCACACAGAAAGAGGAAAAGCTAATCCTAGAGGCTCCACGTCCGCTCAAGCTGTTTTGGAAAAGACCGCAAGGATCCAGTAGTTGAGGTGCTTCTTCAAACAAGTGTTATTTTCCGTAAACCTTTCCATCAAAAAGAAAAAAACGAAGTGAACTGAATGACGTTTGACCAGTGTAGTCTGATTCCGAATGACTCTGAGCCAGTTCTTTTGAATGAATTAAACAAATACAGGGCTTACCAGTATAGTCCAATTCCTAAACAAATGACTCTTTTGAATTGGTTCTTTTTAGTGAATCAAAAACATGCATCACAACCAGTGTAGTCTGAATCCAAAGCAAATAACTATTTTGGGTTGGTTCTTTTTAGTGAATCAAAAACATAACAGCATGACAGGTGGTGTCCAGCTTCCAAACAAATCACTCTTTTGATTCCATTCTTTTTAGTGAATCAGAAACATATGGCATAAACAGTGTAGTCCGATTCCCGAGCAAATAACTATTTTGAGTCAAACTTTTTAGTGAATCCAAACTCTGCATCGCAACCAGTGTTGTCCGAATCCCAGGCAATTAACCAATTTGAGTCAGTTCTTTTTAATGAATCACAAACATACACTGTAAACAGTGTAGTCCTGAGCAAATAACTTAATAATAAATAAATACGTTCCTGAATGAATGACTCTTTTGAACTGGTTCTTTTTAGTGAATTAAATGTATACAGTACAGTGCTATCAATGTAGTCTGATTCGATGAATGACTCTTATAAGCCAGTTCTTTTTAGTGAATCATACATGCATCACATACATCACATCCAAAGCAGTCTCATTCCTGAACGAATGACTCTTATGATCCTTTTTTTAGTGAATCAAAAACAAAACAACAACAACCAAAAACGTCTTGCTGTGTAATCTTGTACTTACTCCTGTTGTTCATAATTTATTATTAATATTATTTGTTTAACATGTAATTAAAACAGACAATAGGACAATGCTGCTTCTAAGAAGAATGAAAAGTCATTAAAAAGACTGTGTAAACATTTTTTTCAAGAATTGTTGTATAACTCATCATTTGGCAATGGACCAAACAGCTGATTTTCCACATGATCGGTCCATTTTGACATCACAGCTACGCTCACATCTGCATGTAAACATGTTGTCGGCATGGAAGTTCTTGACTGTGAGTGAAGAAGAAGAGTTCACAGTTTGTAATACGTGTAGGGCCGAAGTAAACCACGGGGGAACCACAGAGCTCGATTAACGCTTGTCTGGGACAAGTAGATTTTTTTTAAAGGGGTAAGTGAGAGAGAATTTTACTCATAATTTATTATTAATATTATTTGTTTAACATGTAATTAAAACAGACAATAGGACAATGCTGCTTCTAAGAAGAATGAAAAGTCATTAAAAAGACTGTGTAAACATTTTTTTCAAGAATTGTTGTATAACTCATCATTTGGCAATGGACCAAACAGCTGATTTTCCACATGATCGGTCCATTTTGACATCACAGCTACGCTCACATCTGCATGTAAACATGTTGTCGGCATGGAAGTTCTTGACTGTGAGTGAAGAAGACAGAGTTCACAGTTTGTAATACGTGTAGGGCCGAAGTAAACCACGGGGGAACCACAGAGCTCGATTAACGCTTGTCTGGGACAAGTAGATTTTTTTTAAAGGGGTAAGTGAGAGAGAATTTTACTTGCCCGACTGGACAAGAATCCTTTATTGTATTGAGTGTAAACGGAGATTGATAATGTTTTGATGTCGTGCCAGATGAATGAGAGAGAGTGACTCGTGCAGAAATCAAAACAAATGAGCGCAACATCACACACAAAGCAACTCACAAAAATGTATAGATGCATACTGTGGTAGAAAAAAAAAAGATATTTATAATATGATATACAGTAGGTAAGCAGCATTACACGACCATGATGTTTCCTCGAACATCAGCACGATTGCAATGTGACACTGATTTTATTCAATAGTTTAACAAACAAGTTAAAAATAATTGACTTGCATTTTAGTCACAATATTGACAATATTCACAATATTAACTTAGTCCAGATTGGGGGAAATTGTAATGTTTAAAAATTTATTTTATTATGTAATTTTTTAATTTTTTATTTTTTTGCATTGAAAAAATTGTATATGCTGTAAATTATAAACAGCATATACAAATCAGCAAAAAACGGTAACGACAGGTCACACTTATAAAGAAATCGGAATCAGCCAAGAAAATTGCAGTCTCTACATTTTATGCGTCATATTTCAAAAAGCATCTTTTGTACTGGTTTCTTAAATATCCATGATTCACTGCCTGTGCATCTGCAGCGTACAGTTTTACCACCTTAACAGCTGTTTTGTTTCAAAGGTAAATATAAAAGCACTTTGGAGAATACAAGATTGCCTGGCAAAAATGTTAATTGAATACATCTGTGTAGTTTGCTCAGCCCATGAGCTGTTGTGTCTTGCATGCATAACATCTTGGCTCGAGCACTGGGTCAAAGTGCTAAACCAGAGAACTCCACCTTAGCATTAGTGCTTTTGTCATTTACACAATGTAGTTTGGTTTTTGTATTGTCATGAAAGCTGGTGGAAATTGTTTTTTATTATGTGACAAATGTGGAAGTTCAGTACTTACTGTGTAATGCTGTAGCTGCACTTCTGAACGGAAGCGTAAATAAATGTAAGCGTTGTAAGCCTTGAGGCTGTATAAGGGCACAAAGGTCAGCTGTGAAACAGAAAGCCGCCTCTACTGTACGTCTTTGACATTGACACTGTATAGTTACATCCTATACCTCAGAGACTTTGAGTAGAGCATGGGCTTGGTGAAAAACGATCATTATAAAGTCCTCTCTGGCCTACATTATCTGTTTCGAAAGACAAATCTTGTCAATGCCACTCCTTCTTCTTCCTTTGGAAATATGTCTCTGCCCTGAGGTCTTGAAATGCTCCTTTCTCTTTTTCTGGTCAGATTTGTCTTGTAATCCATCTGTTCATCTGTGTCGCTTTGTAGAGGTTTACTAATGAGGACCACCTGGCTGTTCACAAACACAAACATGAAATGACGCTGAAGTTTGGACCCGCCAGAACTGACTCAGTTATCATTGCAGGTACTTTGCACACAGACAATATGATACAGTATGAATCCACAGTGCACAGTTGTCAAAAATATTCTTTTTGCATATATAAAATCACAAAAAACTAAATAAATAATATATAAATATATGTATAATTGAATGTTATCATATAATATTAATTATAATTTATTTATTAAATTAATTGTAATTATTATTTATTTAATTATTATATATAATATAAATAGTACATTTAATTACTTTTTAAATTAAATTAAAATATATATTTTAGATTTTTAATATAAAACGTAAAAAATTGTGTTAAATATGTGTGTGTGTGTGTTTTAATGATGTAATTAAATTAAATGTCATATTGATTTATAAATTAAATAATTAAATAATATAAATATTGAATGCATTTTTATATTTCTAAAATAAATATTGTAGTGATTATTAAAGGATTAGTTCACTTCCAGAATAAAAATGTCCTGATAATTTACTCACCCCCATATCATCCAAGATGTTCATGTCTTTCTTTTTTCAGTCGCAAAGAAATTAGGGTTTTTGAGGAAAACATTCCAGGATTTTTCTCCATATAATGGACTTAAATGGTGGCCAACGGGCTGAAGGTCCAAATTGCAGTTTCAATGCAGCTTCAAAGGGCTCTATATGATCCCAGCTGAGGAATAGGGCTCTTATCTAGTGAAACAATCGGTCATTTTCTTAAAAAATTTTTACACAAATGCACGTAAAAAGACAGTATTAAGGCTTGTTCACACCGGGACGAATATTGTGTGTGATTATCGCCAACGTTTAACGCCTCTTGACTAAACAAAGGGTGCCAATTTGAGTGTGCATACCGACGCGCAAAACGCGAGGCGTAAAACCTTAATTTTAAAAAAAACGCCTCGGGCTCGTTTTTTTGGTTTGATGCTCCGCGTTAAAAACTGGCCGACCAATGAGCTTGGCGCTTTTGTTCACGTGCCTGGAGCTGCTGAAGTTACAGTAAAACACGACTTGGTGGCGCTCAAGCACAAAACGGTCTTGCCGAGCACACATTGATACCTAACGACGAAGAGGAAGTAAGTAGACGAAGAAGATGCATCGAGGCAAGATGAATGTAGAGCTGCTGGTTTCATTGGTGTCTGAACACAAAATAGCTTTATGACAAACGCGACAGCGACTACAAAAATTTCGATAAGAGGGAGCTGTTATGGAGAGAAATTGACACAAAATGAACACAAAAGACGCGTCAAAAAATGTCAGCGATAAGCGTGCGCGATAATCGTCCCGGTGTGTACGAGGCTTAAGTCATTATAATCCGTAAATATGTCCCCATTGGATGCAACAAATGCCTCGTTTATAATGGGTTTTAATGTTTTTGTGTCATCGCTCCGGCCGGACAGGGCATCACAATATGGTAAGGGGCGTAACATTTCCGTCACACGCTTGAGGTATTCAGCCAATCACAACACACTGGATAGCTGGCCAATCAGAGCACACCTCGCTTTTCAGACCGAGCTTTGTAAAAAAACGACGCGTTTCAGAACGTGGGGCATAGAGGAGAAACAATAATGTACAGTATGTGGAAAATAATGTTTTGTTTTTTGAACCTTAAACCGCATAAACACATTTCACTACACCAAATACACCAAATAATGTTCTTTTTAGCAACATCATATGACCCCTTTAATTTGTCTTTGGTAGGTGCATGTCCCTTGCATCCATCCCCATATGTATGTCCTATGACCTGGAATGCTTGTTTAAATGGCACTGACAAAACAAATAGTACAGAGATTTAACAGTGTAATTCGATATCATTACATTATAGCTGTGGAGTGAAGTGAAGTACCCTTAAGCTAGTAATTTTAATGGGGACAATTCACAACATTATGGTTTTTTGTCACATTAAACCCGGGGGAAAAAACACAAATGTAATAACAGACTTGGACTCAGATTTATCATGTTAAATCACAAGCAGATTTGCTTTGTACTGGTACAGCCGTTTAGCTGCGTGGCACAGTTTATATTGTCCTTGGGGCCGTCTTACATTAGGAAACAATGAGATCTCTCTTTTTCTCGCCCTCTACTCCAGACCAGACGCCGACTCCCACTCGTTTCCTGAAAAACTGTGAAGAGGTGGGCTTGTTCAATGAGCTGGCAAGCTCGTTCGAGCAGGAGTTCCCTAAGGCCCAGGAAGATGAGGACAAGAGGGCCAAGAACCCGGTGAGCTATGGGACTGGGTGGAGGGATTCAGTCAAACAGTCAGACGTGCTCCAAACATGAGGAGCTCGGGCTGCCTGCTGCCAGAAACTCAGATTTATGGACTGCAGAGTTCCCTGTCAGTTCTCATGTGTAGCACCGTCTCGTCTCTCTCTCTCTGTCGGTCACATTCTTCATTTGTCTTTCTTTTTTTCCATGTAGTTGCCTGCTCCTAATTCAGGAGCACTTGATATGAGTTTGCAAACGCCTTCAGACGTTAAGGTGAAAGAGGAGGACCCCGTGGAGGTGGACTCCTCTCCGCCTACCAGCCCTGACTCCATCTCCAGCATGTCAGATAGCAGCAAAGAGGCCTTAAGCAGAGGAAAGGTACATGCTTTATACAAACCAGACTGCTAGAGCAAAACCAAATACTAAAAATACCTAATACCTAAAATGTTAGGATTTTGAAACATGATTCTGACATTGATCGTGTGACTTTTTGTACAGACAGTCAGATGTACTGTACTTTCACTGAAGCACAAGATACTCTTTAGATCATTCTCAAATCATGGAGAACATGATAATCAGGTTTTTATAACCAGAGCTTGAGTTCTGCAAAAGGAGGACAAATCAGATACTAAGACATTATGAAATTCATATACATTTTTACATTGAGCTTTTTGCTTCTATTGGTATGTTAAAATTATCATTTGTAATAAAAAATAATAATAAAACAAGTCAAAATTATTTATTTCATTTAATAATTAATGACTAATGAATGGAAAATTATTATACATGATTTTGTAATTATAATTTTCAAGCATTTATTAAATTATCTAATTAATTAATTAAAATACAATAAATTAAAAAAATTAAAATTAAAAAAAGCAACATTTAAGCATTATCACTAGTGATCTGAAGACTTTTTGTAGAATACTTAGAATATAAAATATATAAAATAGATCATTGCAAGGTATGCTAGCACACATTTAAAGTGGCCACTGTAGAGACCATAATTGTACCATTTCACTAAACTACGTATTTAGCAGTAACTGAACTAGATGTGTTGCATCACTAAACAAACAGTCGTGACTGGATGACTTTTCTTTTGGAAGCAAACAGTGTTGATTTTTGAATTATTTTGTGCTTAGCTGGCTGATTATCTTTCTTACAGGATTCTCCTTCAAAGCCTGCCATCAGTTCGGCTCCCACACCTGCCATAGTGCGTCCTGGCTCCCTCCCCCTGCACCTGGGTTATGACGGCCTGCAGCCCACCATGCCCTCCCCCACCTCTGTCATCACACACACCCCACCATCCAACCGCACACTGGGGTAAGAGTACAACCACAGCCTATCACTGTGGAGCCGTTGTTTTGGGCCGTCAGCTTATTCTCTGTGACTCATTTCTATATGACTCACTGTGCTGCTATAAGTTGGTGTTGTAGTAATTCTTACGAAACCGTGGGAAGCTGGCTCATTTATGCTATACTTGACGTTCAACGAATGTTTGGTCAGGTAGTGGACAGGAAGAGAGCAGAATTTCAGTCTGTGCATTGCTTTCTGCTATTGCTGCTTGTGCAAACTGGAAATTTCTCTACTTCTGTTTTAGATCTCCCACAGTGCCGTACCCAATGATGATGCTTCCCAATGGTCAAACAGTTCCTGTTCTTCCAGGTCCTATGCAGATGCCCTCTGTAATATCTGTAAGTGTGAAGTGTATCTCTGAGTATGGAATATTGATATATGGAGTACAAAGAGATGGCCCACTCAAAGGAAAAAGAATGGAAGAGTTTGTGACAGTCGACTTTTTGTTTACTGTAAAACTGATTTTCAAACTGGGGTCTGCAAGGTGGTACTGGGAGGTCTGTGGAAAATTAATTGTTATTGTTAGAATTAAAGCTGAAATCAAGCCAAATATAAATATTACACAAAAAATACTTATAGAACTGTTGCCTTGAAATGTTCTCTTGGTGACTTACTGAAATAAAATTACTTTTAGTTAAAGTACCAAGATTTCCTAGAAATAAAACTAAATTAGTTTTTAATTTTAATAAAAATAAAGCTAAATAGAATATAACAGTAAATAGAACTGATAAAATGATAAAGCACAAAACAAATTTACTAAAACTAAAATTGAAATGAAAACTGGACATTTAAAAATAAATTCTAAATATATTAATAACTAATATAATAGTATATAAATAATACTAAAATAAGACTTAGGAAAACTTCACAGTAACTACAATTATTTTGATTTTTTTTAATGAATACTAATATTTTCCAGATAATATTTAAATAATTTATTTTAATATTTAAATAATTTTACCAATATTATTAATTATTTAATTTTTAAACAAAAGTTTGTCTTTTCATCACACCATTTTTTCTCACACAGTCTTAAAATATATAGCAGCCTTTATAATTTGTGGAAGAGGTCCTTTGTATCATCTTTGCATCAAGGAGTCTGTAAAAGGCCGTGTATTAGCATAATTTGACTTAAAGAAGCAAACTTTGTTGATTTGAAATATATTCTTGAAATGTAATCCTGACAAACAGTTGGCGATTTCAGTCCTTCAATCACATTCAAGTAGACAGGAGCTGAACTTGAGTACCCATTACTTAGAAAATAGATTCTCGTGACTTACCTTAAAGGGACTATTCTGTGATTCAATTTTAAAGGCAAAGTGTGTAGTATTTTTCCAATGTTAAATGTCATACAACGCCCCCTTGTTTCAGCACAGTGTCACTTAAAACGCTAAAAAATGACCCACTTCTCTTTTAAAATGGTGTTCATGTGAGCAGTTATTTCTGGTCTTTGGAGTCATTCATAATTTGCCTAATGATATGTTTTGCATTTGTCCCTGTGGTGTAGCTGGCGAGGCCCCTGTGTATGGTGCCCAACATTCCAGGAATACCCGGCCCTCCACTAGGGGGCAGCAGCAGCGGCTCGTCTTCACCCTCTGGTTATAACCCCCACAATGAGGCAAAGATGGTGAGGGCAAATCTGTTTCCTTCCTAATCCAGCCTGTGGATCATTTTGCAGAATGCTCGGATGCATAGCTTTCTCTTAGTGTTCCCATGTTGAAAGTCTTTATCCAGCACATCACATGGGTGATAGTTTTCACAACAAACAAACACAGGCTGTTCGGATAAAGCAGCTCTGTAATTAACAGTCTGTATTTCAAATACACTTATTATACAGGGATATGCAAAAAATGCCTATTTTCATAATAGAGTAGTTTGTGGGTGGTTTAACGACTAGTCAGTCTGCTCATTTATTTATTTCATTCATTCATTTATAATAGTCATTTATAATAGATAATTCAGATTATTAATAAATATTATAATAGTATTTAAATAATACTAAAATAACACTAGAAAAATTGCTATGTTTATGTTTTCTCTATTATTAATAAATAGCAGTACATTTCTTGGTTTCTTGCGAGATGTTTGCTTAAGTCATAAGTTCAATCTAGATGACCATCCCGACCTATAGAAATAATAATATGCAGAAGTTCACACGTTTATTTCCTTTCTGTCACATGATTTCTCTCTCTGAGTTACGGTTCAGTTTTATGAAATGACTTCAGAATGCCATCTTGTGCCACATTACCATGGTGTATTTGTTGTTATTCCCAGAGGTTGAAGGCAGCATTATCTCAGCAGATGCCCGCGGCTCAGGGTTGTCTTGGTGTGGCGATGGGGTCCAGTGCGATGGTCCCTCAGAGGGTGGAGCAAAGCCAGCTGCTGGTCCAGCATCCAGATGCCCCATCCCCTGCTCAGCCACAGGTATCGCGTGTTTTTACACTCGAATTGTCGAGTGCAAACATTAAATATACAACAGATGCCTGAACAGATGCCTTCATGTTTGTCAGGGAGCAATATTTCACTTTGCTGTGGCATTGTGCAGTAAACCTCCTTGTTTACTCTGCCCTGCTTTGTTCAGGTGTCACCTGCTCAGCCCACCGGAGGTCGCAGGCGGAGGACGACTGATGATGACCCTGATGAGAGGAGGCAGCGCTTCCTGGAGCGGAACCGGGCAGCAGCTTCTCGTTGCAGACAGAAACGCAAGATATGGGTCAACTCTCTGGAGAAGAAGGCTGAAGAACTCACCTCCTTCAACGTCTCGCTGTCGGTTAGTGTGTGCGGAAGATTTTCTGACTTTTTTTCATCTAAAATGTGAATGAGCCCTGATATATTGCTTACAGCATCTTGAGAAATGTGTGACGTGGTTCCTCTGTCTTTCAAAATTTTGACAGTACATACATTTTTGTATGCAGTGCATGGAAAACCCCGATTTTATGCAATCGGAGCATACTGTGTGGGATTCTGTATCCCATGATGCAGTGCATTTGTCCATAACTTCTAACTAAAGAGTCAAGATTGAACCAAAAGCAGTGTAAACTGTGATGTTGTTACTTTTGTGTGGCAAAAGTTAAGATAGATTTTGTTTGCACAAAATTGCACAAAAGATGGCAAAAAAGGCTGTATTTATTTCCCACATAACTGGATGTCACTCACCAAGATGTAAATATGTAATGTTACAAGATCATGTAACAAACATGTCGCATAACATGCTCTGAAACGTTTAACTTTATTGCAAACATACTGCATACTGTTTCACATACTGGTTATTAATATCTTTACATATACTGCAGTATTGCTAGTATCTCATTCCAAACATAGCCTGAGACTAAATAATTTATTTTATTACAAGTATTGCCATTATTTGAAATTGACTTTATCATTGATACTATTAGTAATAATAATAATTGTAATAATAATTTATTATAAGAATAAAACATTTTAATATATACTTTTAATTTATGTGATTGTTTGTTTTTTATTTTATTTCATTTAGTTTTTTTATTTTTGTTTATTTTACATTTAAATACAATTATTTTACATTAATTATTTTTATTAAAAAATGTATGTATGTATTTATTAATTAAATTGTTTTACCATTACTGGCCTTATTTTATTTTTTATTTTTGTCATGTGTACTGTTATGTTTTTTTTTCTTCATTGGTTTTGTTGTGTGCATTGATGGTTTGGCATTGTACTTTGAAATTTAGTAGATACAAATGTGTTTGCAAGTACTTTGTTGTCAGCTAGTTTTTGTCCAAGTGTGATGATCACACCTTTTTTTTTTCCTGTATTTGTATCTGTACAAGAACGAGGTGTCTCATCTACGAAATGAAGTTGCTCACCTAAAGCAGTTGCTGTTAGCCCATAAAGACTGTCCCGTCACCAACCGCCAGAAGAAAGCTGTCTACTTGGGTGAGTGGAGCTCACGTTGAGGTCTTTCACTTGCATCTGCAGGATCAAACCTTCATTTTTTTATGTCTCTCAGGAGAGGAGCACATGAAAGAGACATCTGAGCCCACGGGCTCCCCGGCACCGGTCATTCAGCACAGCTCTCTGGCCCCCAGCCCCTCATCTGCAGTAGGGCCCAACGGTCTGAGCTCCCGCGCCGCGGCCGAGGCGGTGGCCATGTCAGTGCTGGCGGGGATGGGCAGCCAGCGGGGGGAGAGCGGCAGACCGTCGCACATCATCATGGCCACACAGTCCCACCCATCCAGCAGATGATGAGCGCAGCTAACTGTCTGCCTGGGACTCTCCGCATCCCGGGAGAGGGGCAGATCTGTGAGAGGAGAATGCACTCTGTTCCCATTCTTCAGTCTGGTTCCCTCTCATGCCATCAAGCTCTGGCCTGGAGATCAGCTGCATTCTGGGAATGAAACTGGGACTGTGCACACATACAGTGGGGAAAATATTTATTTGATCCCCTGCTGATTTTGTACATTTGCCCATTTACAAAGAAATTAAGGGTCTGTAATTTTTATGGTTGGTTTATTTTAACGTATAGAGACAGAATACCAACCAAAAAATCCAGAAAAAACACATTATATAAAGGTTAGAAATTGATTTGGATTTCAGTGAGTGAAATAAGTATTTGATCCCCAAGCAAAACATGGCTTAGTACTTAGTGCAGAAACCCTTGTTTGCAAGAACAGAGGTAAGACGTTTTTTGTAGTTGGTCATCAGGTTTGCACACATCTCAGTAGGGATTTTGATCCACTCCTCTTTACAGATCTTCTCTAAATCCTTAAGGTTTCTTGACTGTCATTTGTCAACTCAAAGTTTCAGCTCCCTCCACAGATTTTCTATAGGATTGAGCTCTGGAGACTGGCTAGGCCACTCCATGACCTTAATGTGCTTCTTCTTGAGCCCCTCCTTTGTTGCCTTGGCGGTATGTTTCTGGTCATTGTCATGCTGGAAGACCCATCCGTGACCCATCTTCAGTGTTCTGGCTGAGGGAAGGAGGTTCTCATCCAAGATTTTTACAGTACATGGCTCCTTCCATTTGCCCCTCAATGTGATGAAGTCGTCCTGTACCCATAGCAGAAAAACAGCCCCAAAGCATAATGTTTCCACCTCCGTGCTTGACTGTAGGGATGGTGTTCTTGGGGTCATAGTCAGCATTTCTCTCCCTCCAAACACGGTGAGTCGAGTTAATGGCAAAGAGTTACATTTTTGTCTCATCTTACCACAGCACTTTCTCCCAAGCCTTCTCTGAATCATTTAGATGTTCTTTGGCAAACTTTAAACGGGCCTGTACATGTGCCTTCTTGAGCAGGGGGACCTTGCGGGTGCTGCAGGATTTCAGTCCATTGCGGCGTAATGTTACCATTGTTTTGCTTGGTGACTGTGGTCCCAACTGCCTTAAGATCATTAACAAGCTCCTCCCGTGTAGTTCGGGGCTGATCCCTCACCTTTCTCATGATCATCCTTACCCCATGAGGTGAGATCTTGTACGGAGCTCCAGACCAAGGCCGATTGATGGTTGTTTTGTATTTCTTCCATTTCCGAATAATCGCACCAACAGTTGTCTCGTTCTCGCCAAGCTTCTTGCTGACGGTCTTGTAGCCCATTCAAGCCTTGTGCAGATCTACAATCTTGTCTCTGACATCCTTTGACAGCTCTTTGGTCTTGCCCATGGTGGTGGGAGAGGTTTGAATGGAAGATACAGATTGGACAGATGTCTTATACACCTAACGAGCTGACATTAGGAGTAACTTCTTAAAGTGGCAGGACTAATCTTGTGTTCCACATGGGCACATAACCAATCTGAGGGAGCCAGAATTCTTGCTGGTTGGTAGGGGATCAAATACTTATTTCACTCACTGAAATGCAAATCAATTTCTATATAATGTGTTTTTTCTGAATTTTTTGGTTGGTATTCTGTCTCTATATGTTAAAATAAACCATAAAAATGACAGACCCTTCATTTTTTTTGTAAGTGGACAAACTTACAAAATCAGCAGGGGATCAAATAAATATTTTCCCCCTCTGTACAGAGAGAGACGTAAGGAGTTTGTCGTTCACTATGCCATAGACTACGGGGTCTGGACTCCAAACCATGCTCTCATTTGCATCCTGCTCCTTCCTTCAACTTCCTTCTGCTCCTCCACTGGCTGTAGGACTGCAAAGCACTTCCTGTCATTAAATGTATCCCCACAGACACACGCTGCAATAAGGACATTGCCTAAACCGTGACTGTGCACTCTGTGTATGTGTACGTGTGCACAATAATTCACACACAGACACACACACACATGCAGGCTGCATCTCGAAGTTGCGATGACATATAGATGTGCTGCTGAATATTCGGAGCAGTTTGTTCTGTACAGGCTGGTCATTTCTGGAGGTAATTTTACAGATATCAAAAACAAGGAATACCTTAGAATTTTTTTTTTGTGCACGCTGATTGATAACCAGATGCAAATTGAGCAAGGTGATTCTTACCCAAAACCCCATATTCAGACAGGGAGCTGTTGCACACTGTGTAGAGAGCCTGGTTCAGCCATAAGTGGTTCATCGGAATGCAGAAGCGCTTATCAACTTCCTGATCATGCAAGACGTGGTGACGGTGACTGTAAAAACATCACACACACACACATTTATAATAATAAGAAATGTGTCTTGAACACCAATTCAACATATTATAATGATTTCTGAAGGATCATGTGACACTGAAGACTGCAATACTGCAATACTTATATATATATATATATATATATATATATATATATATATATATATATATATATATATATATATATATATATAAGAATATATAATGTATTAGTAAGTGTGTGTGTGTGTGTGTGTGTTTAAGATAAACATGATGCTTTAATGTTCTGTAGGATCTTCTACCTTGCTATTTTAGAGCAGGTTTTTTAGTTTTCAGGTGGCCATCCCCCTTATCTGACCCTCGCTCATCTTACCTCATTTTTAACCTGATATATACATTCATAATCAACGTGTGCATGTGTGCTTCTCGTGTGGGTGTACAGTAATGTACAAAGGAAAATAGCAGCTTGTTAAGGACTGATACACTAAGACTGCCTTGTTAGCATGCAAACTTTTTGCTATATATAAACTGTATTGTATTGGCACATTGCGTTCAGTTTGGGCTATGGAACCTCATAGTTGTCGTTTTGTTTGGTCCTATCATTGTTTTATTGTGTACAACAAACTCAGAAACTGCAAACAGCATACTGTGTGAGGTCATTATGTATGATTAATTTTAATCAGGACCATTGTGCCCGGTCCAGAGTCTTGAGAAATCTATGTGTTAGCTGTCCTAAATTATACCATTTCCTTTCCCTGTGATCACAATGTTTTTAATTCAGCTTTAGATTGAGTTAAGCTGGCCATGAATTATTAAGGCTCTACGTAGTCTTAGAATTTTTTGCCCTGCCTTTTTCTGTTTTTATTAGTTATTATCTAACTTTTACAACTTGTGAGATAAACCCTGCTGTTGTATTCTTTATGGAATCTCGTTCCGCCACATAATAGAAAAAAAAAAGTTAAATAATTGTTACATAAAATGTCAATATTATTAGATACACTAAGTCATTATGAGATCAACTCTGGTTTAGACTATGAGATGACTATGATATAGCACTATTTACTACAACTCTGGTTGTAGTAAATAGTTATTTAAATTAAATTGCCTTTGCCATAAAACATAAAAAATATGACATAAAAGTATGACATAATTATGAGATTAAAAAGTAGAAAACAGAACAAAAAAGTCATAATTATGCCATAAGTATTTGAATTATGAAATAAAAAGTACACAAGTGGAACTTGTGACAAAAATTCGAAAATAAGAAAATACATTTCTTAAAAAAAAAAGTTTCTCCAAATTACGACTTAGTATGTCATAAAAATTCATAAGATAAAAGTACAAATTTACCAAAAAAATGAAATTGATAAAAACTCTATCAAACTAATTATGACAGAAATCAGAACTTATAAAGTCAAAAATAAGAAAAAAATCATAATTTAGTTTTTTTTCCATAATTTTACCTTTTCTTTCGTAACGATAACTTAGTATGTCATTATTTTTACTGTCATTATTGACAATTATTTACAATTTTGACTTGTCAATTTCTCATGAAAGACTTTTTATCTCATTATGACTTTGTATCTCACAATTTTGACTCTTTATATGATAATTATGTCATACTATTTATTGACTATTTATGTAATAAATATGATTTACCAAAGCATGATTTTTTTTTCTTATGTGGCAGAAATTGGCTTCCATAGTACTCTGCTCAATTTACAGAAATACAGCCCTAGTGCCTCTACCCTCCCATTCAATCACTTTCACGATTACTTGACTGTTATGGTTGATATCACAATCCTTTGTAACACTATTTGTTTCTCTTATTGCTTATCAACACATTAACATACACAATCCATCATAAACAATTAGAAGAGATGAGGATTCCGCCTTATGAATCACATGAGTGCCTCTTGTAGGTTAACCTCACTCCATGTCGCTGAGCCGACTGGTCACATAGCGATATTCAGGCATCTGTCAGGAGATGTTAAAAGCTTTGTATCTGTATCATCAGACCTGGGGTAATTCATTAACAGTAATGCCTTTAATAATTTTCAAACAGCAAGAGAGCACTGCCCTTAATTTTAAGCATACTATACTGCCACCTGCATGTAATAGGGTGCTATTACATGTAACTAGAAAGACTGCAGGGAGCAGAGTATCCAATTCTACTGTTGTTTGAATGCTTTTATCTGTACTAAGATGTTTATCCAAACACATGGTCATTTTATGCAATATCAGACACTTTTAAAAAATAAGGCAGCATGTAATCAAGGGACTAAGATGTACTGTTGTTGCTCAATGTATGTAACTTGAATTTTCTTTCATTTTCTGTTGTTATCTACAGCTTGTAATGCTGCATTAACACAGTCCAAAATGTATATAGGCCTGTCAGAATGCACTTAAAGACATTTTGGGTTCCTTTTTTTCAGTTCAGTGTCTCAAGAGATTGTCAGCTACACTTTTAAATAGCATATCAAGGTTAACCGATATCTCACAAATGACTCCTGGTTAAAGTGTTGACCCTGGCGTTTCTGTTATATCATCTGCTGGTACTGTAGTCATTAAGCCAAACCCATTTAGAGGATTGTTGATCTGAAATGAGCAGAATGGAGAATTTTTAGCTTCACTGGCACTTTTTCTAAGATTTCGTTTTTTCATACGCTGCCAGGACTATACAAATGACCTGTTATAATAAATCTTTGTGTGTGTGTTTTCTCATTCTATTTTTGTTCGTCTAACACTTACTCAAATATTTGTAGTTATTTTGATTTGTATAGATGAATACGAATGCCTGATTCCCCCCTTTACTGATAATCACTTTAAAGTTGTACCAGGTTTCTGTCTTGATGGACTTTAATGATCCATAATTCCAACATAATGCAC